GCTCACCGATCAGGTTACAGAACATGCTCCTTCTGTTGTGCCTTGGGGCTCATACTTAAACCCTCGCAGGCAGTCGCTCAGCGACTAGTGATATAGGTAGATAAGGTGATACCGACAAAGACAAGGGAGACCGGAATGGTTATTTCTGGCTTATTAGCCGTCATCAGCCAGTCATACCCAACCCCAAGTGTGGATCACTTGGTAGAGCGTCAAACTCCATGACCAAAGATCCCGGGTTCGAATCTCAAGTGATCCACACTTGGGGTTGGGTATGACTGGCTGATGACGGCTAATAAGCCAGAAATGGCCATTCCGGTCTCCCTTGTCTTTGTCGGTATCACCTTATCTAGAACTAGGTTTGTTTACTTAGTTTCCGCCTCAATTATTCAACTCGATATCCACTTTTCCAGAGGCAAAATACACTGTTTTATTCATCGGAACCATCTATTGCTTTGCTTTAGGGACACTTTGCCTTTCGTCTCGACGTCATTGCAGCGTCAACCGGGTGGTCCACCATCTTAAACGTGCGCCTCTACGTATGTAGGACCCAGACAGATTTCAAAATTAATTGCATGTACTTAGAAAAACGTGCACCTCTAAGGTCAGGTCTTAAAAGCTTCAAATCTCGGTATTAAAATCCGGCTGCTAGGTACTAGTATTTAACTGCGGAAAAGAAGAAACCAGTGAAATTATGATAAGGGGCGTTTGGTCGACGTACTGTGCGTGTGACCAACTCTGTCCAAGCTAACCAAATTTGAGAAGTCAATTTGACAAACACGAGTTTCCGGTAACTCATTATCAGGCCAGTAAAGAAACACTGAAATTGAAAATACAAGGAGTTCACAGGGCTTAAATTAACTCAGGGAACATAAGCACTCATCGTTCCCACGCCACCCAAATGACGGGGACGAGGTGTTATGATCAGTGAGTCAAGGAGATGGGGGGAGAGAGAGTTGCTGTTTTCAATACTGGGCAATCCAAGTGTATTGTTCTACTTGTTGTCGCTATTCTATGCACAAAGGCACAGGCTCATCAATACAAATCACTCAGCCCTACGTAAACACAACCGTTTGATAAACTATCCTATTCCTCGGTGTGATTTAATTCTGTTTTTCACTCCCTATATATAAAAACGTATCCAAAGGTCAAATCTAACAGCCAGACATCTGCTAATTTGATGCATAAGAAACAATTTCTCTTCCCGATGATGGCATCACATCTTGTCAGTACCCTTCTCTTCGTCCTTACAGTGTCTGCATGCTTTCGGAGATCGTGTAGGTTCATGAAAAATAATCAGCCAATTTATTTTTATTTTAAGTTAATGTTTTATTTAGGGCACGTTTTCCACGGCGATTTTTTTTATAAAGACTGTAAAATTCTCTGAATACAAACGGCCTAGATTCAAAACGAAGACCATTCCACCATTATTGCAAATCAGAAGATACAATATGAGATTACGGTTTTCCGGACGAATATATGTGCCTAAATGTTCCTCTGGAAAATAACCAACTTGCTGCGCTTCTTTTGAAACAAATAATAGCGTCTGTAGGGCATTTAGTCAGTTTGCACCTTTTAGTTATATGCTAATTTAATAACATCTATAAAAATGGATAAATGCCACTAAAATATATACGCTTTCTAGAGGTCTTGACATACTGATTTATAAAAATAAAGCAGAATGTTACATAGATGCATTGTTCAAAGAGGGCGACATTCATTTGTTTCATTTCCGTGCTAGGTTTAGCGGACAACACCGCATAATACCGCCAAAGATATTGGCTAGCAGCGAACCGACCGCATGTCTTCGATATGCTGCTATTTTTGCGCAATAATCTGCAAAATTCGAAAAGTTTTCGACGCGGTATTTAGGCTAGACATGTGACGACCAGCTTTTAATGAGAGCACTTTAAGACGTACGGAGATTTTGCATACTTAATTCTCCTTAGTTTCTTTTAAAAAATTCTTAATCATTTGAAACTCATTTAAATAAATGGCCGTCAGAGCACGTTGCCTAAGTTAAATATTTTTAGTAAAATTTAAGAGTTTTATAATTGGTGAAGGTAAAGTTGCATTAATATCCCTTTTATTTATATTAAATTATAGTTTGCAGCAACTCGGCCACACCGATCGAACACATAAGTGCATTTTCATGAACTTTTTTGAGCACACAACTCGACCACTTGTCTTCGCGATAGAACGGGGAAACAATCGCATAAATTGACTTAGATGGTGAACAGAGTTTTCAGAGTCCTTCTCAGAAGGCCACGTATTTGTATGAGCCTCTCGCCTAAGAGTCAGATTATCTCATCGAGGCTAAGGGCCTATTACTTCTGGAGGAACATAACTGAACCCTACGTCGGGCTGGGCAAGCCGCCTGGTGGCGCGATATACAGGAGTTAAAACGCCCCAAAGGATCGTGCCAGTCAACCGTCTCTTTCTTCATGCCATCGATGAGGCAGACGTCGAAAGTGAATCGTGCAGTGTAGTTCTGTTTAATATTTTTCCTCAAACTTTACTGGTCAGTGCGGAAACGGTGGTCGAAAGTCAATATCTCGTGGTCGGTTAAAATAGTACAGCTGGGAGCTAAGAGAAAGTGATGGAAATGCTTTAGCTCATGCAGATGACGAGTAGTTAGCAACGTAAGATGCCCCATAATGTTTCGGTCGACGGACGTTTCTTGAGGAAGAAGCCATACTGCGAAGGCGTCTTTTACTGACAACAGAGGCGCCTAAGGAGCAGGATGCTTTGGCACGGTATGCGTTACCAGTTAGCTCGAGGAAACACTTAAGAGAGAAATGCATGCTAGTGTCCGGAAGCATGAAGTCAACATACAGCAGGTGGGCTAACTCATGAAATTTCAGCCGAAATTCCGAAATGCGTCTTCGTTTCGAAAAGATTAATTAAGTAGGGTTGTAAAACTAAGCATTATGCAGCATAATTCTATGATAATTCAGTTACCCCAGGACGGTGGCTTTCGAACAAGCGCTTTTCTGGCTGCATCCAAAAACCACACTCCGTAAAAATTACTTATATAACATGCGTTTTGTTCACTGATTTCCGGCTGCATGCAAAAATTGCACTCGTAAAAAATGACCGCTTATGTAGCAGGCATTTTTATTATTGATTTTCGATGCCCCTAAAAGTCCAATTATATTTCGTGGAAAATATGTATAAAAATATTCATCCTTCTGCTCATTCGGTAAAAAAATTACGTCGTCTTCCAACTTTATACTCAATGGAAGGACATAATTCGGTTTTAAAAGGTTACTAATTTCGGGACTTTTATATACCGTGAAATGGCCGTTCATACATCGTCATGTCTCTGCATAGACCAGTGTGGCTTGTAAAGTTAACAATATGGATCAAATCCGCTGCTTAATTTCATGAACGCCATATGGCCCCCCTTTATAACCGTAGAGAAATATGTAGTTTTCCGTACGTGGAAAATTTGCGGCTTGTAGTTTTGAAACCCTGAACCCAAGTGTGACGGTAGGGCGGGTTAAAATTATTCGGGAATTTTAAAGCTTTTTTAAAACCGAATTATGTCCCTCCTTCGAGTATAGGTTTGGAAGAAGACGTAATTTTCTGCCGAATGAACGAATGAATGAATATTTTTATGTATGTTTTCCATCGAATATAATTGGACTTTTATGGGCAGCGAAAATCGATGGGAAAAATTCACGCTACGTATGCAGATATTTTTTACAGTGTAGTTTTTGCATGCAGCCGGAAGGAAGTTCATTAAAAAGCCGGCATTCTGAGGTAACTGAAATATTATAAAATTATGTTGCAGGCTGACTAGTTTTACAACCATAATTAATTAATCTTTTCGGAACGAAAACGCATTTCGGAATTTTGGTTGACATTTCATGAGCTAGCTCACCTACTGTAGTTCTGCGGTAACCGCCGGTAAATGTTAACCATGCCTAGGAACCGCTGTGAATGATGCTTGGATGTGAGCGGGAAAGAATAATAAAGGGCTGTAACCTTGGCAGGTAGAGGTAGACTAACCTCGAAGGCGATATCATGTCCACTGAATTCGAGGGAATGCACACCAAATCTGCACAGGAATGCACCGGTGCTGACACCCTACTTGCCCAGAATATCAATTAGCTAGACGAGAAACTTCCTGAGTTTTTCAGCATTACAAATAGTCGCTTAGGTATCATATATAGGCGCACACTAAGGGTAGACTGCGTAAGGCATGGCTGATAAACCCCTGGAACGTCTGACCGAAAGGCATGGGAATGAAATCAGATAGGTTAGATTAAGTATTAACAGCGATGCTTTAAGTGGCCTCTGAGCAAAAGGTATCTGGCGCAACACACGCGCTAGGTCGATCTTCGAGAAAACCGATTTACCATGCACAGCTCAGTGGACGTCATGAAAATTAGACACAGGGTACCCATCACGAATGACAGCGCTGTTAAATGCACCGCTGCCGGTAAGCGTAAGTCGTCGCCGTACACATGAGAGGTAAGCTGCATGAATTTGCGAAATGAGCGAGGCCGCGAGCAGATATTCATTCAAGTAATTGAGTTCACCGTCGGTTCACAAGAAGATTGACCTTGTCAAAAAATTAACACTGACGATTGCGTTGGAGGCATCAGCAATAAGTAAGATCGAAGTGAACGAGCGTCGAAGGCCTTTGCTTAGTGTAGGAAAAAAACTGCCAAGTATGGCAGTGCGTGGGCGTTGACAGTCTGGAAACGTAGACAAACGTTCTGACATCGGCGGTCCACCGGAGGTTGGGAGACCACCCCGCTGCTCTGATCTTCAGTGCCCAGGGGGAAGCGTCCGTGAGCCAGACTGTAACAAATTTAAAAGGTGTAACCAGGGTCAGAGGGTCCAGCCAGACCGATTCAATTGAAATTTGGACTGACTCTTCCCCTCCGTTGTTTGTACTAAGAGGCGTGAAACATTAAGCGATGAACGTTGATACCAGAAGTGAAATAATGCTAGCGAGCGGCAGTTGTACTGGAGCCAAATTAAGATTGGAAGTAGGTCTGTCGTGGTAAGTTTTTTAATCATCAAAATCCTCTCATCGATGCAACGGCAGCGACACTCTCCTACTTGGCATAATTACAAGAAATTGTACAGGAATTGGTGAAAAGCCAACGTCTTCCTTCAAAATGAATGCCATAGAACAACGATCCATGCCTTTTACCACGAACTAACTCATGTCGAACGTGCAGGCAAAAACAGAGCTAAAAAATCTGTTCAATGGTCCTTGCTTGAGAATCGAAAATAAAACAGTTAGACAGCGAAAATGGGTATACATTAATTGTCAGAACATATTGTCGGGCACGTTGAGAAGAAACGGTATTGTGCGAAACGGCAATAATCAAGACGTTAACCTATGTTGTGAACATAACGATTATTAAATCAACTTAAACTGGTTGTCTGCTTACCTCTGCACGCCTTATTTAGCCGATCTAAATCCGAGGGATCTCATTGTCGAGGTTCTGGGTCCTACGTCCGTGAAACTCTCATGGAAGCCGCCCAAAGGACCAACAAATGGCACACCGGTTTACAACATAAGACTAGGTAAAGAATTCAGAGCCATAACCAATGCCACAATCATTACCATTTCTGATCTTCGTCCCTCCACCAAATACAAATTCAGCGTGCAAACAATAATCGAAGAATTTAACTTGGCTACGCCTGGAATTGACGCAATCGCAAGAACAGCCAACCTAGGTAAGTCTTGAAACCGTCATTTACTAAACGTTCGGTCTGCAATTTAGTTAAAAGGCTGCATTTTCAGGCTGGCAACATGTTCCTCACTTCCAAATCAGTCAGCTAGCAGTAAGCTGGAATATAAGTGATACAAGCCATCAGTGTTTATCAGTAGACTCTCAGTTTAAGGAGCATTGCACAGTTGATGGGAACCTTGGCTTTTGCCTGAAAGTATCCTGACTACAGAATAAGGACTACAGAATGGTCTTCTTCGGTTTACTACCTATCATTCTGCAGTGTCATCGAGTCGCGGATGCTGGAGAACCGGGAGGTGGAAAGCGTGTGCTATTGGGCTCTCATTTCCAATATAGCAGGTTTGCGCCAAATTTCCAAAGTTTCACTAAATGTGCCATTGAGCTCCCTAGCCACAGGATTCAGCTGACTCACAATTCCTCCATCATGCTTGCTACTGTGCCAGAGACTGCTCACTGATCTGTATTTGCCGGTCTTTCTGCTGAAATGATTTGAACGAACGGCGCTCGCTTTTGCCTGGAAGTATTGTCACCTTGGAATATTGACTGCAGAATCGTCATCCGCGGTTTACTAACCGCCGCTTCGCTGGTTTTCCTGCCTGCGGCGATAGTTGATTGGTCGGTCATGTCTGTGTGGCCAACGAATGAGATTGTGCCATGTGGATTGACACCTAGCGGGCTAATTGGCCAGTCATTTGACGGAGCGTCATCCTGCAGTGTTTTCTTCATCGCAGATGCTGGAGAGCCGGCAGTTCAAAACCACCTGCCACTGAGCTCTCTGTTCCAAAGCAAAAGGTTTCTGCTAAATTTCCAAAGTTGTGCCTATGTACTAGTGAGCTCTCCAGCCTCTGGTTTCTACAGACTCAAGGTTCCCCCATCGAGACCGCCTCTGTAAAAACAGCCAAAAGAGAACCGCTCACTGATCTGTATGCACCGGTCGTTCCGCTAACAAAAGGACCGCTGAGACGAGTTGAATGTACCGTCCTGAGTTATATCTAGAGTACGTTGACTTCGTATGCGGAGAAGTTTGATAAGTCGTCAAATTTGACGATTAAGGCGAATGTGAGGTCTCGGTGCCGATCTTGTCAGCAAACGCAAGGGAAGAGAAGGCAGTTCATTCACAAACTAAGTAATCGAAGACATAAGTGGGTTGTTTTGCTTGTCAAAACACTTGGGGGTGGCTATATGCCACGGAAAACGCAGAAAACAGCAATAACCGCGCTGTAAGGACTGCATAGTAAGCAAAAGCGATGGACGAGCACATGTTGCCCAGAGAGGAGCATGTTTACTGAAATTATGCGATTAATGGGAAAAGTCGGGTTCAAAAAGATACCACATGAATACCAGATAGACTGGAGCAAACTGTTTCGTCCAAATATTTGGGGCGATTACTAAAGACACTGTAGTGACATGTAAAATCGTTTTCTTCTAATGCGCCAAAATATGACTTGCGAAAACTTTGCCACAACAGTGAAGAACAAATTTTTGGCTAATTTATCTTTTTCAATTTCATTCACTATAGATCGGTTTATTTATTTATTTCAATACCATCAGAGTGAGCAGGAGGTAAATGTAGGCATAATGAGTTCGTACGATATACCGAAAGCAGGCCTTACATAAACCCTATGATTAACCGTTTGTTTTACCACCACGCGAGTTTTTCTATCAGCGTCGATAAATGATCAGTTGGACATGTCTGCGTGGTCAACGAATGAGGCTGTGGTATGTGGGCTAACAACTAATGAGCAAATTTCCCAGTCATTTGTTGGAGCCACGACCTTAGGATTAATGTTACTTCGTCCTCGTGATAATCCCTATCCTGTCTTGCCTTTCTTTAGCAATTGTTTCGTTTTTATGGCGTAAAAATGATGTTTTGTCAAGCTGACCACATCGGGTAAAATTCTCCACGCATTCCACGCCGAGTCACTGCGTCCTAAAGTCTCACACCCCACTACCAACTGCCCCACAACCTTTGTGCAAAATCCATCTTCGAGGGCAATTTATTCTCTCAGAAAATTTCTTAAATGTTTGCAAGTGACCAACATTGAAAATCGCATCATATTTTAAAGGCATGCATGCTATTGGTGCACCATTATTAATGGGTGCACCAGTTGACAATGATACGCTAGTGACAATTTGTTATTGATCTCATCTTTGGCCACTATTTGCCTTTCCCATAGAAAGGTGATTTTCTAGACGAGAATGTGAGTAGTAAAGACGCAAGTAATCTTACATTTCTGTGGCAAAGTACAATTGCTGCTTATGCATTAATTGGGAGAAGAGCTCAGCGAGAAACATCTCCACCTAAAACTAATGCCTCCGGACCGCATGTCCGACTACACCATTGGCATGCGATTTCCCGAAACAATCCGCATTGTAACGAAATTCCAAGTTGCGTTATGGAATAAATAGTATTTTAAGAGTAGATAACTATCCCGTTGTTGCTTTTGGAAAGGAGATAATCTGTCAATTTGACCCAGCCTAAAATATAAGTCCCAACCTGCTTGATGTTTCGAGTGCCTTAAGAAAGGAAGGCACGTTTCATTAATTGCAGATTTTTAAGAGAGAGGAAGAAATTTGCTTTGTTTTGAAATCATAAATCATCAAAATGTTTAGCAGAACGTTGGCTCCGTTCACTATGGGCAGTATTAACTTAATAGATTATTTCTGAGACAAAATTCTAACACAAAAGGAACGATTATAATGAGGACAGTTCAAGTCATAGTTTCTGTATTTCCATCTCTTTACACGTAAGATAGCTCGCCAGGAATGGCAATACAGAAGCTCGAAAAGCCGATGTGCGACAAGATATAAGACGAAAGCTGCGGCGCATCGGGCGAGAAGACTTCGCAGAAATAAAATCAATGTAAGGGATGAACAACGTCATCTATAATCTGACCAGCATATTGATTGACCGTATACAAATGTGGTTGTAGGACAGTGTCGACTAAAAATAGATAAGAAGCACCAGCGGCAGAAAAAAGCGTTCGGAGGACTCGTTTTAAAATTAAAAGATCTTTGAGAAAGCAGGAAAAATGACAAGAAAGCAGTACAGGATAAGAGGAAGAATGCAGGCATCGATGGATAGCCAGACTAAGGATTGGGGTGTTTGGTAGAAAAGTAAACGATGAATGGAATAAAGAAGTTTACGAACTTCAGTAAATTGAATGTTTTTCTTACCCACATACGAAAATTGGTCTAGAATTTGTACTTAATGAAGAGCGCAAATAATACGGTGATGGACTTGTTTCTGATGAATTCTCATGTTATTTCTATCTAGCTAGACGTGGATAAACCCTTCGTTGCAGGACATTACTTCAGGCAGTGATTGTCTGCCATTATTTTATGTTACTCGGCTGATTACCTAGATGCCGTTTCCTCAGTTCTGTCCCCTTCTTACATTTTAAAAGGGGATAATCTGCCCTTTCGACTTAAACTATTTGATTTGCTCAGCGTTCTTAAACAGACTTGCGTAGTTCAGAAACTGCGCTTCCAGCATAATCTATTTTTCCCGAAATATGAAAGGGCGTTCGGACGTTTCGACCCGGGGATGAGGTTGAATGCCAAAGTGATATCCTCATCTGCGATAGATTCACTTTCTTGTATTTATCTATCTAGATCCGAACAAGGCCTTCTCCGCGGGTTATCGCCTCTGGCTGTCCTTCCCTGCCGTTATTTTAACAGTCATCTCATATTTGTAATTTGAACATGCTTTCGAATAAAAAGAATTAGCACTGGAAATCCTTTGACGTTTCGGTTACTTTGAAGCTTCCTAATTTTGCCAAAACATCTAATTCCCAGCACTCATTCCATTCGAATCCTTTTTTTTGACCTACCACGCCTCCATTCTCCTTCTCCGTCTGATATTCGCGTCACCATGAGGACTCGTTTTGTCAACATAGTGGGTGGGGGGGGCAAGCTACAATGTTAACATTTACAATTGGAGTGCTAACTTATTTTCTGCCACTGCTGATGGCCAATGAAAAAACGTTAGAAATACTGGGTAGCCGTAGATCAAATGTCTCAAGTGAAGGACGAACCAGAGTATGTAAGCAGTCCTTTGAGGTATTGTACAGTCAAAGATTCAGAACTTGCAAGATATCATACCATCTACCAAAACACAACCTCTTCGGCCTTCTTGCAAGGCGTCGGAAAATAGATGTAAATGCTGTGTTTTTCGTCTTCGCAATTGCTTGTTTCAACCATGTTGACTACGGAGAAAATGACTCCAGAAGGCCACAGTTGTGAAGCTCTGTTTCTTCGGAAGAAGTTTACCGTGCCAAGACGGTCACAGCGGCACACACTCTTGGGACGTCTTAGATTTTTCCAACCCCACTGTCTGAATTTCATGCCACGCCTAAGTACAGGCGTTGCATGGGATCTTTTTATTAGTCTAATAATGTAGTCCCCACAGAGTGGTTTTTGGCATTTTTCATAATTGCTTTACGCACGGCCCATGCTTAAAAATTTCCCATATGTTAGACGTACCGTTGCCTGTGCATTGTTGTCCGGTAGAGAAAAGGTTGGCATTGTTTGTTAGATCTGTGCATTAGTCTGGTAAAACGAATTAGTCGTCAACGCTCCTCACCGCTCGTGATTACTGTTCGAGCAGTCCAGATGCAGAGTTGCTTCCGATAGTAGTGGATTAAATTGGTTTTGAGATTTAATAAATCTTACGTGTACATCGTACGTTTCTGCTTGAACGGATTAAACTTGTAGGTTTTGGGCCTCATCTATCTGCCACATTCGACGCCTAGCGTTGACAACCTGCCTACATTTGATCCCCCCCCAACAGTCATTATACCCGAAACGCCATAAAACCTTTCGCCATATGGCTGTCCATGGCATTGTTTTTACGACATAAAGTCCTAGGGAGAACATTACTTACGGTGCACCTTGTTCTCCAACAAGCCTGCCAGTCACTTCGGATGCAATGGACGATCACTACTGGCAGTTATCGCTAATGTGTGGGCTGTGAGTTTCGAATTTACTTGCCCACCGTTTCCTTCTCAGTGATGCTGACGCTGTTAGCTAGGCCTGCACGCTTGTCTGCTAAAGTGAGCTGATTGTCAACTTTCTCAACTCCCCGTGATTACTGTTCTAGGAATACGGAAGCTGAGTGGCTTCCGATAGTAATGGGCTAAGTTGACTTTGAGATACATAAGACGTTACGTGTGCATCACTTGACTATTAACATATAAGGGCAGTGACGAATTGAGCCACTGCTCTTATCCTCTTATCTATGGGGTTTATATGAAAACCAACGGCTTATGTAATGGGAATTTACGTTATTCATGTGCAATGCAGTTCATTCGTTACTTCACTCATTGGAGCTAATACTTTGAGCAGTAGAGGCCTTCTGTTATTAGTATGCATTTGGCCATCAGGCGCAAAAAACCGAATTAACGACCCTGTTTCATTTCTAAGTCCCAACTGTGATCGTCTGTTTTCATACGCCCTAAGGAAGGCTAATGAGCTTGCAGTCCGCTGACATTCCTCCCCTTCTGCTTGAACGGACTGAACTCATACATAGGTGTTGGGCCTACCCCATCCGCCACATTCGACGCTTAGCGCTGACACCCTGCTTACGTCTGGCCCCACCAAGGGTCATTCTACACGGAACACCATCTATCCCTTCGTCAGGGGTCTGCTTATTGCATTATGCTTACAACATCGTGTCCTGGGCAGAACGTTTACTGCTTACGGTGCGCCGCATTTCCTGACGCGTATAGGAGTCACTTCGAACGCAATGGTCGATCAACACCGGCTGCTATAGCTAATACGCGGGTTGCACGTTTCGGATTCACTTACCCGCCGCTGCCGGCTTCTCAGTGATGCCGTATTTGTTGCTCAGGACAGCTAGACCGGCGCTACCGACGATGTCCACCGTGTGCCCGACAGCGTTGTGTGCGCTGGGACGGAGACTTGTACGTGAATGTGTCTGTAGCCGACTTGCACTGCAGCTACCGCATCCTCGCCTCCCTCTCCCACCTCAACCCTGTGCCAAGACGGAGTATAAAAAAAACTTGTAGTGGGTTTGGGGGGGGGGGGCCGCAGGCGGCTTATAGAGCTAAAGAGTCCGCCTGCGCCTACTACATACGACCTGGTACCTCGTACAACACACCATGATTTCACACAAAGGAGGTGGGCGACTCGGAGAATTTGGTTGTGGGTTCTGCCACCTTAAGCCTGGCATGTATGCCAGTTTGGTACAGTAGTTAGCGCACCTGTTGGCAAACGTCCTCGATGAAGGAAGGGGAGTCGTTAATTGTCAATGACAGGCAAAAGCATAGCGACTGCATCCTACAAGTACTACAACTCCCTGTGAATGAACTGCCCGTATCTGATACTGACTTCATTTAGGTGTCCGAGACGTCAGGCTCTTGTCTCAGCGATAGCATCTGCCTCTTATAAGGGACCATTAAGCCTGAAGTCTAAGTCACCCTATACGAACACACAGGGCCGACTGTGAGATCGGTTGTATTTGTGCTTCATGCTTTATTTACTAAGTACAGACGTGCTTAATATCGTGAGTGGTTGTATAATTTCAAATATTCCAAGTCCTCTGGATGTATCCTCTGAATGTTTGTTCATCCGGAATTGGTCTTGTACATCCAAGCCTGCAAACCCTGAAAACTAGCGGCCTCAGCATCCCTGTAAAATTTCAAAGTCAAGTAACCAATCGTACAACGAGGCTGGGATCACTATTCTACTCTATCTAGCTTAAAGATAACGCATAGCGGGGCGGTCTTAAATTTACCATTTTTTAAAGTCCTTTGATTTAGGGGAAAAATAGCCGATACCTTACCTTTAGCTAACATACTGCGGCAACAATTTTAAATGAAATTCAAATGGTTTTGAATTTTCACAAGATTGTAGGAGCAAAGAACCGCACAAAAACGTAATATGGCTAAAAGCGCTTTCATCAAAGATCTGATTGCCAAGGATTTAGCCTAAATAAGCCGTCCAAAAATCTTTTAAATGTTACTGATTCTATTGCAACAAATAATAGCATATATGGTACATGCAGTAGGTTGCGGTTAGCCAATGTCTACGGCAGTGCTATAGATAATACGCGGACTGCACTTTTCGTATTCCCTTACACACAGTTGCCGGCTTCTCAGTGATGCCCTATTCGTTTCTCAGGACAGCTGGACCATCATCATCGACGATGTGGGCGCTGGGACGGGGACTTGTACGTGAATGTGTCTGTAGCCGACTTGCACAGTACCTACCGCATCCTCGCCTCCCTCTCCCACCTCAGACCTGTGTGAGGAGGGAGCGTAGAAGGCCAGAGGAGGGAGGGGGGACGCAAATGGCTGACAGATCTAAACAGTCCAACTCCGCATGACACACACGACCTGTTGCCTCGCACAACACACCAGGATTTCACACAAATGAGGTAGGCAGCTCGGGTCTCCCACGCATGAGAGTGCCGTAGGGGCACGGTTAAGGAGGAAACATGGATGGGTGTTTCCCCCGGGAGCGCGAGCGCATACACCAGAGGGGAATCAGGAGTCAGAGAAATGCCGGCGCATATCAGGCTTTGAGGACTTTTTGGCCTAGAAGGCTGCCACGTGGCTCTGCATTTGCTTGGGCTGTTGCGTAAATGCTGCGAGGATGCATAGGCCTTTACGCAGAAATTCCCACGTTAATAGAATTACATCCGATTTGCTCTCTTGCGCGGGCAAAGACGGTTCGTTTGGAGGCAAAATCAGAATGGCTTCGGAAGAGAAATAAACCACCTGGTCATGTGTCGTGCATCGCAATGTGTTACCGAAATGACTTTGTCATCGATTATATCAAGGAATTAAAGGGAATTCGATTCAAGCCATTTCGGGTCAGGTTCAGTTTGATTTATTGTCGCCGTAAATTTACCAGTGCATAATCTTCTCCCCGTAGAAATTTAAACTACACGCCACCCACCAGTGCCACCTGTGGACGCTCCCAGTTATATGGGGGCAAAACGCAGGGCCCATTCCGCAGTAAACATCTACCAAATCTGCGTTATGCGCAAAGATTAATGAGGCGACGTCCACTCTTAGACCTTAAGACAGTACTGGAGACGGTGGTATTTTGTCAAGGTGCTTTCGACTTTCATGGAAAATGTGCTTGTCAGCAGTCTTATTCTCGAACGCCGGTTCCCTCATTTACACTGAACTTAACTGAAGGCTTCCGCTGCCGAGCATCGTATACACCTCTGGGGCAGCTCTTCATACACACTCGGGAGGTGGGCTTCTACAAAGACACAGTTTGTATGAGATCATACCTGTGGGTCAATTCAGTTACCGTGGGAAGTCTAGGTCTGTGCATTCTTGAAATCTCTATTTGCAACAGGCAATGGTCGTGTTTGGCCAAAAGGATCGTCGAACAATTGCGCAAAAAATATCAAGACTGTACAGGTAGGCGAATTGTTTCAAGCGTTGAAATTAGTCGATTTAAGCACAAGTATGATGCAGGGGAAGAATTACGATTCTAGAAGTTCCTCATCGACATGCTGTAACCGTTGTAATACATTATCTTCCTAAAGGCGTTTCGGTCGGATCTTATTAGCCGTGCACGCAGCAGACAAACCCCAGTCTAACCCCTAACCCCAACCTCTAAACTCAACCCCTAACCCCAGACCCCAACTACTAACCTTAACCCCTAATCCTGACCCCTAACCCTTACCCCAGCCCATAAACCTAACCCCTAGCCCTAT